TGAGAGTTAAAATAGCTTGCAGTAGTTTCAGAGGAGATCCTCAGGAGTGCAATAAAAGTAGAATGAACTTCCTTTTGAAGTCTGTCAAAACAGCATTTTGATACTTCATCCTGCCCTCTCCTGTTCACTGAGCACCTCAGTCATCATGTTCTGTTTTCTGAACTCTGGCCAAAACCAGAGAGATAAAGGATTTATACTTATTTAAAATTGTCAGTTAATGTCTTTCACAACAACGTGCATTTCCTTTTATCTATAAATACCACCTTCATCCATTCATATAAAATTTGAAGGTAAATTTCACAAACTATGGTTTATAATTAAACTCCTGAAATGTAGAGGGACTATTTGGGCACTGTCCTGATTTCAGCTGTGGCAGTTAATTTTCTTCCTAGTAGCTGGTGCAGTGCTGTGTTTTGGCTTTAGTCTGAGAACAGTACTGATAACACACCAATGGTTTAGTTGTTGCTCAGTAGTGCCTACTCTGATCAAGGACTTTTCAGTCTCATGCTCTGCCAGTGAGGAGGGGCACAGGAAGCCAGGAGGAAACAGAGACAGGACACCTGACCCAAACTAGCCAAAGGGGTATTCCATACCACAACACATCATGCCCAGTATAGACACTGGGGTAAGTTACCCGGAAGGCCCAAATCACTGCCTGGGTCAGGCCGGGTATCAGTCAGTGGGTGGTGAGCATTTGTATTGTGCATCACTTGTGTTTTCTGAGCTTTCATTTTTTTGTTCTTGTTGTTTCCTATTATTATTACTATTGTTGGCATTCTTTCTATTATCACTATATTTGACTTCATTTTAGTTATTTAATTCTTATCTCCGTGCGTTTTACATTCCTTTGGTTCTCCTCCCCATCCCACCTGGGGCAGGGAGTAAGCAAGCAGCTGTGTGGTGCTGAGTTACCAGCTGGGGTTAAAGCACGACAGGAACAAAAAAAAAAGCTAGAAGGCATAATGTGATGAACTGAAGCTTGCATCCCTAACGGGGACATTAACATGGCCAGCTGGGATTATACTGCAGCTTCTCTTACAGAGGATACTGCCCAAGTATTTGCTGTTATCAGCCACTAGAGGGAGATATGATTACACAAGTCCAAAGCTTAACCCTGAAGTTTGAGCTGGGTCATTACCCATCCTCTTCGGGGTTTATCAACATACATTTCCAATTGAAATGTCTTCTCTTTTAGAGTTTCACTTCATTATCTTAGTTGCTCATAACCATAATTCATTTAATGATTGATCAAACTAACTGTTATTTGGGAACTTTTTTCAGCAAACTCAGTCTCCCAAATTCAGTCAAGAATCAAAACTTCAATCAAAAACACCCTATGCACTACAGAAGACTACAGCTTCTCCCTGTGTCAGCTGTTTCCAAGTCTTTGGTATTCAGCTACAAGACAATTCCTCTGCTTTGCATAATGAGAGGGTGCTTTGTCTGAGGACTGTTCTTATAAGGAAGGAGCAGACTGTTCTTCGGGACCTACTCTTCCAGTGGTTTCCCAGAGAGATTTTGCACCTCTTCTTTGGGAGAAGCCATTTAAGCAAAGGTGTGGTATTAGGCCTGTTTACTGATGTGACAGCTGGAAGGGTTTCTTTGCCCTTTTGGTATCTATGAGATCTTCTGCACTCCCTCAGCACATGCAGAGTAAACAGAGTTTCCTTTTAGAGCTATTAAAACTAACAATGTATTTTTTTAATTATTATTTTTAAAAGAAGCATTGAGCAACTGTTAACATTTGTGACCTCCCTATCAGCAAAGGTACAGGCTTCCTTCACACACTAAAGAATTCACTTTTCTGTTAATGGCTTTCATTGCAATTATTTCTTGAATTTTGTGCATAAACCAACCCATGGTACTGTGTTCCACTTCTTAGAAAGAATGGCCATTTTAAGTTCTCAGGAACAGACAAGGTCATGACAGAAAAAAAAGCTTATGTGCAAACAGGATCGTCTAACACAAAAGCTGGGGAAGTCTGAGCTTCCCATTTTACTATGCATATGCTTTGATTATATCAAGCAATTCATGTTCCTGCAAGATTCCTGTACCACATCAAAACATCCTTCAATCCATCCTCCTATACAGGCTTCTTTATTTAGTAGTTAAACAGCACAGCTAGAGAATAAACAAAGTTATCTAACAAATCCAGAAACCCATGTAATAATGCAGGAGTAAGATCTGGATTATGAGGTCAATATTATTGTTTGAAATACAACTCTACTAAGTATACTTAATTTGAACAGACAGTATTGAACTCAGGAACTTGCATTAGACTGGAGATAAAAGCAATCACTTCGTAAAGCCCTGTGGCAAGGTGAGTACCTCCTGGGATTGACATTCAATGCAAGAATGATATTAATCATACAAAATGAAAGTTGTTTTCAATATCAGATACTGTAATAATAAAAAAATACCCTTCATTCATGATAACAGAACTACAAGAAAATCTTTGTAATTCATTTTAGTTCACTAAGACTGGAAGATCAAAACAAGATGTAAAAAAAATGCCCTGTGTATATGTTTAAATAAGGTTCAGTACTAGATGCAGTCATTCCTGCTGGTACTTTGAAGTCAAGAACAAGATTTTAAGTGCTTTGGGAAAAAAATAAAGAGTACTCAAAAATCCTGATTCAGGATTGCTGTTGATGTAGGAATTGCAGGGACTGCTGCAGGCTGCTGTAGGCAAAATTCTGCTTCATTTCATTTCCTCTATTGGAAAAGTAAATAAAAAGAAATGTGACAGGGATTTTCCTACACAATTACTATTGAATGTATCACCAATAGTCACGCTATCCCATGACCAAGGAAGTGCAAACCAGTGTCTCAGTCCAACAAAGCAAAATCCATTATAATCTGCTCTATCACTTACTGTTTTGAGCAACAAACATGATACTCACCTGCAGGTGTGGGGGGAATTGCTTTAAACAGCCCAGTTGCATCTGTCCCTCCAAGCAAAAGAGTACTGGTTATGAGTGAACTTCGAGGTGAAGAGAGCCCTCAACTACAGCAGGTCTCTGACAGGCATGAACAGCCCTCACACTTTGTACACAAAGGAAGATCTCTCAGACTAATGCCCTCTGCCAGCATAGTTTCAGATACTGCTTCTAGTAGCATTGAAAATAAAATATATTAGAGCTTCATTACACAAACAATTACAACACAGTTGAAGAAAAAAAACCTGTACAGCTATACAACTCCTTCCTTACAGGCATTTGAAATGACGCATTGCACTAGCTAGCTTCTGAAGAAGCAATATTGACTGCTGTTTCACTCATCCCATTTCCTTCATATTCCCCCCCCACACACACACACACAGAGTTAATGTCAGTAGTAACTTCAGACAGGAAGTTACTAAAAAGCTGCTTTCAGGATAGATTTAGCAAGACTCCGTGCTGCTGTTCTTCTCTAAGACTTGATAAAAAATTATCTAATCAAGCTGCAAAGGCGCAAGGTATTTGCTTGCATTTAGAAAGCAATGAAAGACTTGAAAGCTCAAGATGTACTGTTCTTTGTGCTAAATTCCAACACTCTCTTGAATGGGGTGTATGTCCTCACAGGCCTTGCACTTTCAGGAGATCTTCCATTCTCAGTACTTGTACTGTTAAGGAGACAACAAAAAGTTTACAGAGTTAATGTCAGAATATCAGAGAGCTAGGCTGGAAATGCCATGGCAATGAACTTGTGCCTCATTATTGATATTGACAGGCTAAAATTAAACTACTCAGACTATTTGGTATGTTCTATACTTCTTTTCTCTATTGCCACAAAGAACATTTGATAAAAACCAGATACTGGGAGGTTTACTGGCAGACATCTGCTGCAGCTCATATTGCAATGTCCAGCAATACTAGTTACTAGGACTAAAGATCCTGTAACAATAAAGGTAGGAATATTACATTTAAGAACACAATTAATTTGAGTAATTAAGAGTAATTCCATAAAATCTGAACTGTAGAGAGATAAATTTCTATGTAAATCTCAAAACCAGGAAAAATATCAGATAAGTAGGGGTGGCAGTTACATACAGAGGAGCCCCAGAGAGGACAACAAAGATAGCTTTCTGTTGGCACACTCAGTGAAACACGCTGGTTTTGAAGTTTCAAAATTCATTTCATTAAAACATGCTCTAGGCTGAACACTGAAATGAGAGTATTTATTAATTGGGAAGGAAATTTTAGTTTGTATTGCAGCTTGCTGATTTCATTTGCTGATTTACATTGCTCAAACTAAATGATTTAGTTTGCAGGGCAGTTAAGATGAACAAGTTTACCTGTTGGTAGTAAAAGTAATGTGCAATGGTCCTTCTTACCTGACTATTTTGGTTTCTGTTTTTCCCCTTCCACAGAAGTAATATTCAAGTGCATGTCCATAGTCTTGCTCCCAGGGCTTAGTGCAACCCTGTTACAGTGTTCAGGGCACAGAAAGGGAAGGAGGAGAAGCCAAGGCTACAGAGACACTGGCCGCCACAGATCAGAGACAACCACCCCAATGCAGAAGGGGTAATGTTGCCACACTCTTTACTTGGCAATCTTCCACCCAGGGCTAGTACATCTCCAAAAAATTGCTGCAGCCCTAAACTTTTACTGTTGGTTTTACCTGCCCTTTAACATGGTCCTGGATGCATCTCCCAGAACACAAATAATAAAGCAAGCATAAAGCCAGCATTAACCAGCCTCAGGGTAGAACTGTCCATTGTTTTTTGCTGTGCTGCCAGATGACACAATTCATCAGTATTTCCAATATTTAGTAAAGTTTTATCTCTTGACTTCTTTTACTCCCTTCTTAAATCATGTTACTGTAAATAAGTACTCCCCAACGATCTGCATAAGTCACTGAAGTACACTACACCTTGTAGATGTAATCTTTTAAACTTAGGAAAATTCTGTAAAACTCCACAATCCACTCTAACAGTTTAGCACAATGGTTTACTAATACAACACCAATAAGGGAGATTATGAAGGACTTTCCTGTGAACAAGCAGAAAAATTCAATACCTGTATGGGAGATCACATCCTACACCAGTCTCTCTAGTTTCTATATTGGTCTTTGGTTGGTTTTCCATTAAGTAGTCCAGTTTATCTTGTAATTCTTTATTCTGGAAAACAGTAATTTTCATTTCATATGTTTATTTTATTCATATTGTGTTAATTAAGCAAAGAAATAAAACTGCACATTGGCTTAATCCACATGAAATAATGTAAAAGTATTTCTTGAGAAAGAGGAATCCTTACTCTCGGGAAAAAAAATATAAATCAAACCAACAGTTGTATTCAGAAGCTTCTGTTTTGAGTAATTGTTATAACAACTGTTTTAAAACTGTATGTGAAGAAAATCAGCACTGAGACTGTATTACACACATTCTTCATGTTACTGGTGTTGTAAGTTTGATTGCCATACTGAAGAACAACAAATATATATAGTAAATATGCATCCAGATAACATCAGATGACATTAGTTCAAATTTTATTTGGTTTCATAAAACTATCACAATAATATAAATGTAAAAATTACCTCACATTCTAAGAAAGAGATTTTTTCTAAAAGCTGTACTATGAATAATTCCTTTTCTTTCACTTTCTTCCTTAGCATTTCAATCTATGAAGAAAAATAAAACAGAGACATTTAGTCTAATGGGAATGGGAAGAAGATGAACAAGACATAGATATGGTAGGAAGAAAACTTTTTTAATTTTATTGTTCAGCACCGGCTGAGTACCTATGCATATTTACAAAGTAGTCAGTGGATTAGCTCTCATTGCATTTATATAGATGATTCAGTATATAACATGGCTTTTAAGAATTTGTATGTTTTGGAAGAAGTATGGAAACACAAACATTGTCATATAACAAAGCACACTAGGGAAAACTCCATCTTTGACTCAAAGGCCTTTGCTTTAGTCAGTTTTAACTACACCCAAAAATATGTGGCACATTTCCTAGCTTCCTGAAGGTCTTATTTGTTCATTGTTCATACCAGGCTCCTAGAGAAAAAGTGCATTTCCATTTCAGACCTAGGGAATGGAAGAAGTTATTTACAAATGTTCATGAAAAGTAAATAAAGTCAGCTGCACCAGAAGCATTCCATCTCAGTACCGTTCTGTGTGGAACAAAAGACAATCTTCCTTATGTTCTGGGATTTCTCCTGCTCATAGAGACGTACAACAAGAATTTTTACATTAAATCTTTCCCTGCTACCGGCACAAGCAGGGAAAGGCACATACTCAGAGAAACTGGTTATTTCATTCTGGTCCCTTACTGTTGACCCAAAGCTATTCTGATTTTGAGGGAATGGCTTTCTAAAAGTCCTAAAGTCACAGATTTCCTTTTCTGTTCCTCTGAACCCTTTGCTTAAGGAAAGATTCGCTGTGTGAGGTTCATACTGTTAGCAGCAGTAGAATAAGAGACCTGTTGATGGCCACAGAGGTCAGTTCCTTTCAGCTGACCACATTTAGGAGACAATAGCATCTTGTGCAAACAAACTGAATTTTCCCCTTGGACCAAAGGCAAAGTCACTTGATATTCTCTCTCAAGCCCTGCTGACTACACCCACCAAAACAGCAGCTCATAAAAGGAGCAAACCCAAATAATAGCTAAATAACAACTTTGTTACTGCTTCCTAGGAGGCAGTTCAGGTTATTACTGATCAACAGCTGTAGACACACACCACTTTACAAGCACAGCAGACAAGGTGCTTCCTGTATTTGTAGTGAGTCTACTTCAGACGCAGAAGGCAGTGTTAAAAGTATTTCTAAGCAGAATCATTAGAAGTGCACTGAAAGATCAGTTTGAGGGAGAAATGGGATTCTGCATCCTGTGTGTGGGAGAACTGGGAGAAGATGGATTCCTCACCTTGTTCTGTGCTCATACAAGTCCTGTCCTACAGCAACAGCAATGAAAGCTGAAAGCAATGGATACTTTTTGCTTTCACTGCTAAATGGTGTCAGGTCACTAATTTTTCCAGTTAAATTTCAATCCAGCTTCCCCAAACAAACCATTCCAGGTCAGACGACATAAAAATCAAAACCCTATTTTCCCTCTATTAAATGTATGGGAATATATCTCTCAACTGACATACTGCAACATCATTAGCTAAACCCCTTTCCTTGCTGTGTGCCTGTCCAACAACTTCTGCTTTACCAAACAGTGCATTATCTAAGGCAATCATCTCCACAATTCACTGAAGTAAATTAAAGATATAAAAAGTTTCTGATCTTAAGCCTGAAAGCAAAATCAGAAGTAAAGCTCCTAAATGGATGGTCCACATCACAAATGGAATGCCAGAGTCTGTCATGCACTGCTTTTAGTAAAGTCTACACTACTGTATATATAGAAAAGTGCATCCTTCAAAACTATGTTAGATGAGGAAAGAAAGATGCTCACATTGACACTACAGCATTAGAAAAGTGTGTATCCTGCATATTCCTTTGCATTTTTGGGCAATATGCCAATAGTGGAAAAATCACAAGAAAACTATAAAAATACCTATGCATAATAAAAAAATAAGTACTTTCTATAAAGCTTTACATTAAGTGAGCTTTACTTTGCCAGGTTATTGGTTGGCTGTCGCCTTCACTAATACAATTTTAAGGAAGAAAAGTAAAAAATATTTGTTAGTAAAAAATCTAGTGGACTTTTACTGAAGTGAATTCATTTTGTAGAACAGCCCAGTTGAAATCAAGGAAATCTCAGAATACATGAGCTTTTTCCTGGCATTCATTATGTTACACTGTTATGCAAGAAAGACCATTTCTAAATCCTTCAGTCAAATTTTCCATGCATTTTCACCAGTCACTTTTTAACTGTGTATCTTAAAATCAATATTGTGAAAGCAAATGAATAAACCCATTCAAAATCAACAAACTTTTCAGCATGTCTAGAAACAACGATTAGTAGAAATATTCACATCCTGCTAAAAGAGAATGATCAAATATGCAAAGGTACAATAAGCAAAACAACAGTAGTACCATCACCCTCCCAAAACTTTAGTGGTAGATGTTATAAAACACTTCAAACAGACAAAACTATGAAAAAAATGAAGCAAAACAATTGCGTGAATTAAACCAAAGAAAAAGAGTTCTAAAACTAACTCGGCTCTAATTTAGTTTCCATGATCTTCAGTTATCACCTCTCATTTGACACAGTGACCACTTATTACTTGGAAAAGCTAAAATACAGTGTTTTCAGCGGAACAGTTACAGATTATGAGTGCTGTCATCATCCATCTTTCTCAAAATCAGGTATTTCTTTCTTTTTCTTCTTTCAAGTGCATGTAAAAACTCTCCATGTCATCTAAAGCTATTATCATTTCAGTTTTCAAATCACAGAAACCACAAAGCTTGTAGCACGTTCAGAAAATCTTCAAACATATTTTGATCTCCATATTTAATTACAGCTTTGTTTAATATTAGGACTAAATTAAGTCACTGGTTCAACAGCTCCAGTCTCACCAATAAGTTCTGCTTCAGAAAAGATAAACTGTTCTTCTAGGACTTTCAAGTGGGTCTGCTCTTAATGCTCTGTTCTGCTATGCATACAAGGAAATAATTTTAACACCAGTAATCAGTACAACACAAAGACGACTGAAGCAAACAAAGCATAGCTATGTGATCAAGGGAGGTTTTGCCCTGGCAGATATCCGTTCCTGTTATTGAAGATAATGTACCTCATCATCTGCCTAATACGGTTTTTACATCAAGCACACAAAAAAATCTGTTACCAAATAAGCGATCAAATTATCAGTTATCCAAAAGCAAGACCAAACTCTTGTGTTCTGTAACCATTTACCTTAAGTTATATTCACTCTATGATACAAAGGCTCTAAGATATGAAATAAATTGTGTCAGTAACCATGTTTACAAGTATTATGTACAAATAGATTTAGTATAAGTTAAACTTATATTTTTTATTCTTCACAATGGCTACAGAGACACAAACCCCCTAAGAATGTTTCTAAGTTAACTGCAATATTCTGAAGACAAAAATGAGCATGGACACCTTAAAATCTAACAGAATATAAAGTGGAAGATCTTGACAAACAGCTTCCCCCCCCCTTCCCAAACACAAACCCAAACTCCTTTTTTTCCTCATTGAGAACCCGCCAAGGACTTGCAGACTGACCACACACAACAAACAGTGTTCCCTGCCTTTTTTTAACGTGTTTACACAGTACCTGTCAGAACCCATCACATCAATCTGCTTTGGCCCTCTGAAGAATTATGCCCGAATTTTAAAACATTCCTTCTCTTCCACAGTGCAGAGAAGAGACAATGTGGCACTGTATCATCACACACACAAAGTCTTAGCCTAGCAGTAAACCAGAATGGAATGATTAGACCATGCAGATTACAGATACAAGGCTGTGAACTGGGTAACTTACATGGAACTTTTCAGTGGATGTTTAGAACATTGTGAACTCAAAGACACAGCCACACAGACCAAACATATTCCAGGGGAAACTCAGCAGTTGCTAAAATGAGAGGCTGATTTGGCACCAGGAAAAAAGCCCTGCAGTCCCTGCTCCCCAGATGCAGCAGAGCTACCTTGTGAGACCCTTGCAGAAGGAAAGCAGGGCCAGATTGTAGCAGGGCGCCTGTATTACTTCATACAGAATGCTGCACCCACATGGCCAACTAGTTATCTTAGCAGCTTCTGCAGTCCAGGGTCTGAATCAACTTCCAGTTATGACACACTTTTAAACCTACCCACATGCCTGACAGATGACACATCCCACCAGAGTAGTTTACTACAAAAAAAGTTTATTTACTGAATACGGACTTGAGTACACATCATCTTATGCCATTAGCACCAGGAGTGAGCAAACTTGATGTGATTAACCCCTGACAGGATATAGCACAGGAAAACAGGAATAACTTTAGGGGCTTATATATATTCATATATTACTATATTAAATATACTAAATAAAATGCAACCTTAAATCAATACATTTATGTAAGTCACGTTGCAAAAGTAAAAGTGATGCTTTCATTTACGAGAGGAATATAACAAGAACACTGGGTCATAATGCTGGTATGGGGTAAAAGCACTTCAAGAATAAAATCCATGCCATGCTACTTAACTTCATTTTTATTTTTGCATAAGAATGTTAGTTATGGCAAACTAAAATAAGATGATAACACTTACAGCACCATAAACCTCTACTGGACAAACCCAAGTCTTGAGAGTGTCTTTGTTTCAAGGAGCTGTATAAAGCAAGAGAACAACTAGCAGTTGACAGAGCGATAGGTTTTGCCTTTTGGTTGAATATAAGGTAAGGAGAAGGAAAGGAGAAGCAAGACAGGTCAAACACAACACTGGACTGAGTGCCCATGCTGTGGCCAGAATAGTCTAGGGTCAGAAACAAATGGCTGCAAATCAAAGACTCTCAACCACCACAGACTGACTCTTGAACCTCGGTCACTTCTGGACTGACTCCAGGATGTAACTATCACCAAGATGTTCCTACGTTTTCTTTGCTCAGTAACCAAGGCCTATAATCCACCTCAACCTTGCTTAGACTTCAGCAATTCACCTCACTGCCAGCTCAGCAACTTGCTCCCAAATCTGGCTTTTGCACAACTACCCTCTAAGGCTCCCCCT